AAGGGGTCGATTTATGATTAACTTTTGAGGGTTGATTTTTTTACAACGTGGGTTTATTTTTTAAAAACAACTCCCTTCTTTCCATAAAAAAGTTACTCTTATTGCAAGTCGCTTAAAGCAACCGTTTTCGAGAAAATTGAAGGCAAAGCGTTTGGTAAACCTGTAGTTGAAAAACGAAAAGTAAAATCACTTATTTTTTGATGGGTATCTCACAGATTAATAAACATAAATTTATGAAAATTTGGACGTGTTAAACTAATCAACCTCCCAAAAAACTCATAAACACTAAAGAAAAAAAATATTTTCAAGTCATGTCTAAGAAATTTTATTATGAAAAATTATTTTTTGTCTGTGGGTCAATTTTTTTCTCTCAACTTTATAATCGGAAAGTAAGTGGCAACCCAAACCCCAGAAGAAATTTGTGGGCACGCCACTGTCAATGAATACTTTTTGTAAATGGAATAATCAAATTAGGACAGATCAATAGCTATGTACATGGCCTTATCATAATTTTTTTATTTTAATTTAGCAAAAAAAAATTGTAAATAATTTTGCCTAAAATTATTCTGGTTTTTAAGTATTTCTGTCAGTTTCTTGTTGTTGAAGTGTACGTGAGCGTAATATACCAGAAATTATGGAATACACTGTACATTTTATTTATGGAAGAGCGAACGGAAACGGTCTTTTAGCTAAACGTTTGTATATTCAAAAATATCCAAATCGCAGAGCACCCTCTCATAGGATATTTGCCAGAGTCCATCAGCGCCTGAGAGACGAAGGTTCATTTAGTAACAGGCATCATGATTGCGGCCGTAATGTTACAGTGCGTACACCAGCAATTGAAGAGCGAATTTTAAGAAGTCTAGAGGAAGATCCAGGGTTATCTGTAAGGAGAATTGCAGCGCGAGAAAACGTGAGTCGCCATACTGTGTGGATGACTCTTCATACTCAACTGCTGTATCCATACCACATCCAAAGGGTACAAGCCCTTAATCCTCCAGACTATCCCGCTCGTGCCAATTTCTGTCGTTGGTTATTAAGAAAACTGGTAGAAGATCCCTTTTTTCTGTCAAACATTTTATGCACTGATGAAGCAGGGTTTACCAAAAATGGGATTGTTACAACACCCATTACTGGTCCGATCAAAATCCTCATGCTGTCATAGAAAGCCGACACCAAGTTCGATTCTCAGTAAACGTTTGGGCGGGAATTCTTGGAGATAGACTTATTGGACCATTCTTTCTACCCAATAGGTAAATTTTAAAACTGTTCAAACGTCACCAATTCCTAATTATTATTCTTTTAGGCTTAATGAACAAAATTACCTTCATTTTTTGGTAAACCATTTACCAATACTTTTGGAGGAAGTTTCAATAGCACAGAGGCAGATTATGTATTTTATGCACGATGGTGCACCACCTCATTTTCCACTAGCCGTGAGAAATCATTTAAATCAAGTTTTCGAGAGGCGTTGGATAGGACGTGGTGGTCCACAAGCTTGAATAGCCAGATCACCAGATCTTAATCCATTTGATTTCTCCTTATGGGGTCACTTAAAAGCTTTGGTTTACTCAGTGCCGATTAATACTGAAGAGCAACTACGACAACGGATAATTGACTGCTCCAATCAAATTCGTACAACGCCAAGGATTTTCAATAGGGTACGCAGATCCTGGAGGAGAAGAGCAGGTGTCTGTATTGAAATGAATGGTGGCCACATTGAAAATTTACTTTAAATAAAAGAGTCAGACTGATATGATAAAAAATACGGCACTTTCCATAATAGTAATAAACTATTTTTCACTTTAATTTCTCACTCTTCTATTATTTAAAATAATTTCGACGCTTCTCTTGTTTAACAGGGCGATTTGGTAATTATTAATTGAAATAACCACGCCATAATTTTCATAAATTTATGTTGATTAACATGTGAACAACCCATCAAAAAATAAATACATACTTATTTTTCAAATACGGGTTCAGTAAAATGTTTGCCTTCAATTTTCTCGAAAACCATTGCTTTACGCGACTTGCAATAAGAGTACCTTTTTTATGGAAAAAAGGTAGTAGTTTTTAAAAAATAGACCCATGTTGTAAAAAAAATCAACCCCTAAAAAGTTAATCATAAATCGACCCCTTACCCTTGCAAGAACTACCCTTTCTGAATAAATAAGTAATTTTTCGATATTACCATTGGATTCAGCAGTAAATTTTATGTCAGCAGTGATTTTTTTCGTGTTTTTTAAGCTTACAATTTCAAAAAAACCACTTTCCTAGTTTGCCCTTTTGACTCCCCTAAATCCCTTAATATGCATTTAACGACCCATAGTTATAGGAGCTTTTTTACTAGTTTTAGGAGTACTATCACCTCCCGAATTTTTTTACACTATTTCAATGACACCCTGTATATTTTACATATTTAAAAAAAATAGTTTAAGGAAATACTATGAGCAACCGGAGTTGCTGTGTTGTAAATTATAACTAGTATTTTGACAATACTAGCAAAAAACTGTATTTTATAAAAGATCAGTAGCAAAATGGAAATTAAATCAAAGAAATAAACGTACCTATAATTGCTGTAAGAAGGGAAAAGTAATTACAAACCTTTATTTTTGTAACAAAAGTATCTAGTACCTACATATTGAAAATAGTAGACAACAGAAAACTAAAAGGTTTTATATACATAAATTATTATTATTATTTTACGATGTTCTTCAAAATTCCTTGAGTACATGTTCAAAATCGAAATATTTTTGCCTTTGATTCTGATTATTGTCTGTATCTGGAATGCAATTTTGTGACTGACTGATTGGAAACCAGTTATTTATTAATGAATTCTATTTTGTCTTTCGAACTAAAAATGAAGAAAGAAATTACATTCGAAAATATTACAATAGATATTACAACTATTTTTGTGGATAATATTTTGAATACACGTTTGACATTAACCTTCAACTTCATTAGGCAACTTTTCATACACTTTCTCGTAAATACTGTTGCCTAATTAACTGTTCTGTGCACATGTTTTAATAATTTTTTTAATAAATATACTTAATTTTCTTTAGCAGTAGTAATAAAAATATAAAATAATAATAAATGAATGTTTTCACTTGTTTTATAAATCAATATTCATTTATTAAAAGCAAAAAATACATTTTTAAATTAGGAATTCTATTAAAAATGATACTGTCGATACACGAAAAAATCTCCCGTTAATACATATTTTAATTGGCGCTGTCGTCGCGCACGGAGCGAATACGGCCTGGCGAAAGTTACAACATGATCGCGTCATATAAATGGCAATGCTGGTTTTGTTTCTTTCCTGCTTGCTTTAGTGCTGTCTCTCGTAGTTTCCACACGCACTTGTGTCAAGGTATATTAGAAGGTATTCTTTGTCCGATACCGTAGAATTTTTACTGCGTACTAATATTTTTGTTTATGCTTCTTATCAATTAATTTTTTAATTTTTAATTTTAACATCCTATATTTCAGAAGCGAGAAACAATATTTTTTACTCACGAGTCTCCAGTTATTCCATTCTTTTTTAGTCACCTTGTATAACTGCACAAATGTATGTACACGAAACACGAAAACTTGCTGGAGTTAGGCTGGTAGGTATACCCAAAAAAGTCAATCCAAATAATTTATTTTGCTTTATTTTATTTCATCAGATAATAAATTTATTTTCCTAAAAAATAGAAAATATAAAAAGAAATATTTACTGTAGGTTAATAATAGTCCTATATTAAATTAATATATCTGTCTATAATACCAACAATTCTTGCTCTTTACTTTAAATGATAATTTACATGGCTTGAATCTCTGTCTTTGTCGGTCATTGCCTACTCCAACAAGACTAATATTTTTGGCTTTTGGTTCACTCATTAAAATGATTGAGTTTGAAAGGAGTTAATATCGTCAGTATTTTACAAGCCAAATAGTTAATCGAAAAATAAAGTTAGTTTATCCGATAAAACATGATCTAATTTTATTTCCTTTTTGATGTGTTATTATTTTAATAATTTTTTAATAATATTTAAGAACCGCTTGTAACGAAATTTTCACAGTATGTTGACAACTTTGTGAGGTATATTTCGGACATGTTATAGTTGATGCAGTATATTTCCAGAGGCGTGCTCACAGGGCACTTATTTCTGCACAAGAAAATATCGCCAAAAGATTTTTTAAAATTTTGCTATTTTTTTTCTAAATAAACTAACTAAAAACACAACTATTTTGTTTTTTAAATTTTTTTCGTATTTTACTTGTTTTTGCGGAAAAATCAGTTTTGTACGTTTCTGAATAAATTATATAAATTTTCAGTAGCAAAATGAACATTAAATCAAAGAAAAAATAAATGAACAGCTAAAGAATAAGAAAAAAAGTACCTCTACTTTTGTAATAATACCAGTAATTTTAGAAATAGGTAGTAGATATTAGAATGGTTTTAAATAAACAATTTTAAGTCAACGTCTTTTAAATCTTAAATATTCAGCAAGAACTGGATTTCTACCTTTGATTATTGTATGTGGCTGAAATGAAATTTTATGACTTATTGATAGGAAACCAGTTTTATTCATTAAAACTGAAAATAAATTACAATCGCAAAGATACCAACTGAAATTATTTTGTTAATACATTTTGATTCTACATTATTATTTAATGGTATTTTTTATTTTGACATTATTTTACCCATTCTTCAATGACAACTTATTAGGCTTAGGCAACTTATCATACATTTTCTCGTAAATACTGTTGCCTACCTATGTTTTATTATTTATTTTTCTTGAATATACTTACTTTTTTTAGCCGAAGCAATAGAAATATGTAATAATATTTATATAATTATATATACTAATTTTAGTAAAAATTGTCAGTATACGAAAAAATCATTCGTTAGTTCATAAGTTAGTCGGCGCTGCTGTCGCTCACGAAGCGAATACTCATTATTTACTCAATCGGTCAATGAGTACAAAACTTTATTGTTGTATTTTTTTCAGATTTCCCAGTTCCAAGATGAGTTGCCTAGGCGACTGCTTGGACTTGGGCCCGCCACCGGACTCGATCCTTTTCCTACCGCCTCCTCCAGTTCCTTCATTCCTCCAACAGTCCCTTCCTGATCTTCTGCTTAACACAACACCCTGTTCTGCGGCACAAATTTGCGAATCCACGACAGCCCCCAACAGAATTCCTGAAAGTGGCGACTACATGGAATTACCCAGAAAAGGTAATAATAATTTAGTGTTAGTGTAATATTTAAAATTTAAATTTACGATAGTTGGTCCCCATGCTCCACCCCTGACCTATTTATAGTAATCTGTCAGATTTAAATTTTTGACAGTTTGACAAATTGACAATATTTTTGATTAGAGTATTGTCCATGGAGACTACACAAGGAGCACGCACTCAAGTGTGGCATTTGCCAGAGTATGTCCGCGCTTTATCGTATAAATAAAGCTTTCTTTTTTCACCACTAGCGTCGCTAATTTTTCTTTTGTACCGGTGTGAATATAGAGGAATAAACAAATGTGAAGTTAGCGTGAAAATAAAGTAACCGATTATTTAATTATCGTAAACACGTGTCAAATGTTTTTAAATTAAAAAATATAACTAGAGTTATAATTAATTAATTAATTAATAATTAATTAGAATTATTTATTTTATTTCAAACTACCGCCTCATTCTCTTATGCCATTTTGGTACTTATGGAACACTAGCACCCTCTTAAAATACTCTGTTTAACACAGTACGCTTGTTATACATGGAGTGCGTGCTCCTTGTGTAGTCTCCATGGTATTGTCAATGAATCTTTACCGTTATTCGACCATTTCTAGTAAACAACTTAATTGTTCCTTTTCTTATCCGTGCACTACAATTAGGCATTCCAAACAAAATGGTTGCCCTTAGATAATGACAGGCACATGATAGGCTATGACATGGCAACACTGTGGGCCTGTTGATTTGATAAGGTCAGTAATATAGATAGTTTCATAGAATGATCATCCATGTTTTTAAAAATAAACATAAGCTTATGATTTGAAGTAAAAATGTAAGTAAATAATTTTTTTAATATATTCAAAGGCTGGAATTGGTTTTAAAACACATTTTTGATAAACCGCTTTAAGTTAATGAACACTTGCCAGGCAATATGGCCGCTCGCAAACGACCCGCTTTTTAACAATCTATATAACTACATGTATCATTGACACTGACAACTACAATGGAACAGGGATTCTTATGTGCCAACTCAACACGTAACGAATCAAATAGAGAGAGACATTACATAAGAATCGCATTCTGTGGAAAGAAGATAGTCGTCTCAACACGTGCCGTATTGAAAGATGAGAATCGCAATTCAGCCCCATAGATTTGCCATTTGCCCTTAAATATCCACAATTAAGAACAGGCACAATAGAGAGTTATTGCAAATTTCTATAACGTCTGCCACTAATAGTGACAACGTAATTAGGCATTCCAACGACCTGCCAAAATGCTGATCAGTGGGAACTGACCACATACTTTGATTACTATACGAGGCAAGAGAGAGGTCCGACATGCCCAACATAGGGGGCGGCCATTTTGAACCCTGTGACACAGTTTACAGCTAGAGAATCAGATCGCTCACTTTGCGTCGGCACTTTTGATCTCAATGTTTCAGTTTATACACTGTGCAACTCGGATAATACAATATATGACAACCGCCTATAATAAAACAGCAGTCTTCTGCGTATCCTGAATTTGTATCCCTGGGCCTCAATTCTCGACTTCACCGGAAAATTTTCCCATGGATAAATATTCCCATGCTTATATTCCAGTGGTATTATAAAATGGTATTCTTGACTAGGTTAGGAACCTTTTTCCTATGGGAATTTCGATTATTCGTATGTCTAACGTATGTCGGGTATTAAGTACGTAAATATTGGAAACTGACCAATCATAATCAATATTATATTTCAATACTGTAGTAATGTTGGGATCATTGATTATATCGTCAACTTTTGACTCTTGTTTTGCCACTTGCCATCTTGTCAGAGAAAACAATCAACCCCCTTTTGTTAGAAAATAACGTGAAAATATATCATGTGCTCAACCTAGTACAAGGGGCACAATAAAGCCAAAACGAAGAGTAGCTGCTACAAGGTTAACTAAAACCTTGAATACTAGCCGAAATATTGAACGCATGTTACAAAATAAAAACTTTAATAAAGAAAATTATTATGACAAAAAATTCAAGTTATTAGAGATAAATGTTTTGGCAAAAGAACGAATAACTTGTGCCTTGGAAAAAATAGCAGAAACAAAGGAATTTTAAGGATTTTTAAGAGTGTTCAATATTTTAGCTTCAAGTTTTTTAACATCTCATTATGTTATTAACAGTTGCTATTTTTTTTTGCGTAATAAAACAAAATTTATTCTGAAATAGCCTATTCCTAATAATGAAACAAAATTTATTCTGGGATTGCTTATTCTAGAAAACTTGCGTTGATCATATTTGAGAAATTGTCTATCATTTAAGGGTTCCAAGGGATCCCCTGCCTCATTTTTCCACTTAGACCAAAAATCTCTTGGGACATTAATTGCTCTTCTTTCTGCCTCTTCTATATTGTTTAATTGGGAAAGTAAAATAGCTTCATCCATTTTAGGAAAGGTATATTAGTAATAATAATATATAAATATTATTATTTGAAGTAACTAGCAAATGTCACCGGTGACAGATTCCCATTGGAAATTTGATTTCCCATGCCAAATACCAGGTGTATTTGCTCCCATACTTTTCGTGAGAAAATATTCCTAGTGGATGTGTCGAGAATACAAAATATAAATTCCCATAGGAAAATTATCTTTTTCCCATGGGAAAAAAAGTCGAGAATTGAGGCCCTGGAGTGGATGTTATTTTGGAACTTTCAACTGGTCCGAGTGAGCTAACTGATTCTTTAGCAATAAACTGTGACTTCAAACATAATTCACTGACACTGACAGCAGCAAGCAAAATATCAGGTGCGTTTTAATCATCCGCTTCTGCTTCCAGAATTGTCGGTTTAGTCGTTTTAACCTGTCAGATTTAAACAAGAAAACCGACAATTCCGAAGCAGAAGCGGATGATTAAAACGCACCTATTAAAAATATTGCGCCAAGATGTAGGCAACACGTAATAAGGGTTAAAAATGGCGGAGTTTTCTATCTCCTTTTAAAAGGCACTCAGAAAGCTGCGCAGTGCGACCATTCTCCGTATAGTAAAAGAAAATCAAAGTATGTGGAACAGTTAAGACTTGGCAACCCTGTGGGCCTGTTGTCAATGACACTTATATAGTTATATAGATTGCTCAAAGCGAGTGGCCATATTGCCTCGCAAGTGCTCATTATTTAGAATCGGTTTAGTAATAATGTGTTTACAAACCAATTTTTAGCCTTTGAATATAGTAAAAAAATAATTAACTACATTTTTACTTCAAAGCATAGGTTTATGTTTATTTTGAAAAACATGGATGATCAATCTATATAACTAGCTATTTCATTGACCCTGTCAAATCACCAGTCCTGCAGGGTTGCCATAATTTTGCAACATCATAACCCGTCAAAACCCACCGGTAGCCATTTTGTTTGGAACGCCTAATTAGAGGCAAATAAATTCCATGCTAAAATAAGACTTATTGCAAACCTGAAATTTTGAAATTAGAGTCCTTGTCCGTATACATATTTCTAACCTCATTTTAAAAATTTTAAATTACAATTCATATTTTTTGTTGTTTATAATAGTACATAATATGGAAGAGGCATTAGAAAGTACTATTTTAAAAGGTTTAGATGACGATGATATTAAATTATTAATATTAAAAAACTTCGAACTGATACGAATGTTGGCGATCGCACCCGAAAGCTATAAAGTCGCCACTAATTGATGTCCTTAAACATCCACAATTAAGGACAGGTACAATCTTTATTAAAGTAAGTTCTAGAATGTAAATGATATGCGCACGCTCAGATGTCAAAATAAGAGTGGCACTCACATACTTTGATTACTATACGAGGCAAGAAAGAGGTCCGACACGCTCAACATAGGGCGCGGCCATTTTGAACCCTGTGACACAGTTTACAGCTAAAGAATCAGATCGCTCACTCTGCGTCGGTACTTTTGATCTCAATGTTTCAGTTTATACACTGTGCAACTCGGATAATACAATATATGACAACCGCCTATAATAAAACAGCAGTCTTCTGCGTATCCTGAATTTGTATCCCTGGAGTGGATGTTATTTTGGAACTTTCAACTGGTCCGAGTGAGCTAACTGATTCTTTAGCAATAAACTGTGACTTCAAAAATAATATTCACTGACACTGACAGCAGCAAGCAAAATATCAGGTGCGTTTTAATCATCCGCTTCTGCTTCCGGAATTGTCGGTTTAGTCGTTTTAACCTGTCAGATTAAAACAAGAAAACCGACAATTCCGAAGCAGAAGCGGATGATTAAAACGCACCTATTAAAAATATTGCGCCAAGATGTAGGCAACACGTAATAAGGGTTCAAAATGGCGGAGTTTTCTATCTCCTTTTAAAAGGCACTCAGAAAGCTGCGCAGTGCGACCATTCTCCGTATAGTAAAAGAAAATCAAAGTATGTGGTGGCACTAATAGTGACTGACCTTAAGTGAACTTGCAATAACTCTCTAAACTTTAATCACCTTTAATACAGTCAGTTTTAGAACATAAACAATCTGCGCATGCTTAGATGTCAAAATAAGAGCGACACGAGCGGCACTAATAGTGACTGACCTTAAGTGAACTTGAAATAACTCCAATAATCATATTTTGATGTGCAAACTTATTACTCTGCACAAAGATAGATAATAAGATGTCTAATACTCTGCATTACGGAAATTTGACGTCATATTTTTGGGTCGGAGTATGTCCCAATATTAATTATTTAATTTATTGATAACGAAGATGTTATTTAAAAAATCAAAGATAGGGTGGGTTGCCATATAGTATTAACAGAGAGTATTAAATACCAGCTACTCATCTTTCGGCGGCATCTTTTGAAGTTCGAAAGTCAAATGGCTTTAGGTCGACAATTCGTGTTTCGCGCGAAAAAAATAGTAGGAATTAGAATTTTGAATCTGTTACTTATTGACACCTCAGGGGTAGTATTCTCGAATCACGAATACCGACATTCGCATACGTGTTTTACAATGTGTCTCACTTTGTTGAACGAAAACCAAGCGAGACAAATCATACATCTCGCATGCGAATCTATGTTCATGACTCGAGAATACTGCCCCAGGGCCGCTTTCACTCCTTTTTGAATTTATCTTGTTTGTATTGGGAAATAGTCGCGGTAGTCCGTCTTTTCTCAACGTGTACAGCTGACCCGTGTTTCAGATTCAAACCTATTTTAAACATTTATTGGTACTTGTATCTGATATTTTTAAATCAATTTCAGTATCATTTTAGCAGTTTTCTGTTCATGAATACATTACATTGAGACAAATAATTTTTTTTAAATGCTAGCATAAATTGAATAGAGTTGAGATTCATATTATTTACAGATTCCGGTAATGTTGTAGTTGAAGGGTCTAGAAATGCGCATATTCACACCACTCTGCACTGACGTCTAGAATTTGAATTTGCTCAAGCCACGTTGCCAAATCTCCACTTTCATTTTAGCTTGCTTTATTTCATAGTTTATTATTTAGACAAATTGTAACCTCTGTAAATTAAAATGTATGATAAATAAATATAAAGATTTATATTATATTTTGAAATAACAATTCTGTTTTGTTTTATAAGACAGTTTTGATAGATTTTAAATTTAAATTTTGTAATTATCACTATTGAAAGGTATTATTGACATTAAAAATAACAATCGTATTACTTGAAAATCTTTAGAATTTTTTTAATTTTATGAGATTTTTAATCGATGTAAAAATTGGTAAATAGATGATTAAAAGTAAAATAGTTATTTCAATCTGCTTATTCCCTGATTCCAAATAATTAAATATAACCTGGCAACTATGTAACGATTCCAACTGACAGAACTAGTCGGAACAGCAATGGTGCGGACTGGCGCATTTCCAGACCCTTCAACTACAGCATTACCCAGATTCCTGCCGAACTCCACAAAAAAAAAAATTCAAGGCTGTTTTGATCTGTTCGCCTTGTTAACAAAAACTGTATGCCCAGTGAATTAAAAATTTTCTATTATTAGTTATTTGCTAGCCTGATATACACTTAATATATTTTGTGACTTCATCGGCTCTGGCATTAAAAACTTGCAAATTCGAAAACAAGTGATACAATTATTCAAAATAATACATTTTTGCAATGTACCAACTCCAGGCAAACAAAAGAATTGGTTTTTATACTATTTTGGGCCTAAAAAATTTATAAGGATAATCATATTTTCTTATTCCTGTAATCTGAAGTTATAGATCCAACATAATTAATTTTTTAGATCTAACCTTTCTAAATTTACTGAATACGCTTCTGCAAATAGACGACACTTATCTTGACATCACAGTCCTGACCACAGATAAAATAACAACAAGAAGTAGTAACAACTGAATCTCTGCCGGCTAAGAAACCTACGCGGTAGGCTGTGCGCGAACTTTCCGTTTAATGCTGAGATAAGTAGCTGGTATGCGCTAGTTCAGTTTAGTGTCATTTTGGTTCCACTGACATTTAATTCTAACCAAACTTTTAACAAAAACATCAATAAATTTGACATATTCGTTTTTACTGTTTTTATTTTATTTCAAAATATTGTTTACAGGTCATAAAAAATAGTTTAAAGGTATGTAATTGGTAACTAAACGATTGTATATTTGATTCATGCTATCTACTTACTTTAGGAATATATTTATAAAAGTGAAAAAACGATATAATTTAGGTAAACAAAACGAACAAAACGCACTCAAAAAATCTACTGTCACTTTAATTGTCAGTGGAACCATAATTACATCATCACTGAACTAGCGCATTGAATTGGCTATGGTATTGATTTGGGCAGACATTTTAGTCCAATATACAGGGGGATTTTTTTTATAGAGAACCCACCTCGGATATCTCAGAACATAGAACTCTTATAAAAAATTTCCAAACACGTTGAGATGCACATCACTCACTCCTCTTATCACTCGGCTCTCTCGTCCCCCATAATTCTTAAGTGGAATAACCTATCTTGTGATACCTCTATAGATAGGTAATTTCATTAAGAATTCAACTATTTATTTTTTCAGATATTATTTTAGAATTTTCACTGAATAAGTTTGCGAAGTTTTATAGTACAGTTCAGTCTCGGAAGACGCATCTCAACGGTACGTCAAAAGATGTACGTCAAAAAATCACCCTGTATACCATATTTTTTAACATACTAAAGAATTTATGGGGGGGAAGTCAAAACTATGTGGGACACCCGCTATAGAAAAAATGTATTCATTGGTTTATAATTTCTTTCTTCTTGTTTAGATGTTGAAACTTGGTCCGGTATCGGTGACACTTGGTTATTGGTTCTCGTAGCATCCTCCATAGGAGTGCTACTTTTGGGAGCCCTATTGGCAATGTTTCTTCTAAAATGCAGAGAGTAAGTAGTTTTTATTTTTAATAAAGCATGACCAGTGGAGATGCTAGATGTGCTAGTTTCCACCAATATAACATATAATTAAATGGTCGAATATGTTCTGTTATATGATATAGGACACTAATATAAGATAGGACAATTAGGATTTAATGGAAAATCGCTTATAACTTGTATTTTCTTTTTGTTTTGAAAACCATTAAAAAATAAATAAGTGGCTGGGTGTATGTAGGAGCTTAAGTTTAAGAATATTATAAAAAATACATTTACTTTGAAAGTTACTATAAAGATTAAATACTAAATTTAAGAAATCAGTTTTCTATTTATTGAAAAAGTCTCCATCGTCCGAATTCTTTACCTAGTTACCTTATTTATTTTTCTGCATGCTTCATTCACTCCGTTAGCCCAAACTGTAGTTGTTGGTTCACTTAGCTTAAGAGCATCGTTTCAAACTTTGTTAACTTCGTGGTTCTCCCATCCATTTTTTCCAATGTGAGTATCATAGTATTGTTTATAGATTTCCAACTCAATCAGATTGTACTAACAATGATATGAGGGCAGTACTCTGATGCTTATTATCTTGCCGAAGTTCGTCTATTACGTATTCACTATTTACTGACCTATTTATACGACAAAGATTCAAAAGTTCTATTTTAAAAGTCAAAACTAATTCTTCTACTTCCACGTAACCATTCTTTTAACTTTAATTTAGTCAATGAAGCTTGAGGTATTTTTTCAATATGGTAGGAAACATTATTCATAAAGATTAGCGATGGTTCCTTCAGCATCAGTGTTAACTTTAACAAAGCTATTTTTTTAATATTCGTTGTCCATAGAACCGTTTGTAACCTCCAAAATGAACCCTGTAACTTCCAGTGAGAGAAACTGCCTAAAACTTAAAAAAAGAATTTACCAATAAAATTTTGTCTACTTTGTGTCAACCTTCGGGCCTGGCGACGTCGCTCAGACGGTAGCTAGGGTGTGGATAGCTTACAAAAATTCCGGAAATGGTAGACAAATTGAATGGGCGCCAACTGAGTTTCTATAATGTTCAAATTATGTCCTTCCCCACAAACCCAGTAAATGCAATGATTAAAAATTTTACGGTCAAAATTTCATGGTTTTTATATTTTTCTTTATAAATAAATAGGTCTTAAGTAACCAAGTTCAATTTGGAAGGGTTAATAGTATATTGTGTTTCAACATTCGAAGTTGTTCTTTATAAATAAGTGTAATTGTGCACATATTGATTTATAACGTTTCTTTTATGGTATATTGTGGAATTGTAAAAAGATAGAAATTAATATTTTGTGGATTTTGCAATATTCTACTTCATATTTTGCACAGTTTGTCCTTCGCTTGGTACCAATGCTAACGTTTTGCCCTGCCATCTATTGATGGATTTATTATTCTTTTGGGTTTATGCATATGACTTTCTTTAGATATTTAATTTATTTAATTATGAATTCACCATAAGCTGTAGGATAATTTTTTGGTGAACTTCTTGAACAATAACTTTCTAAGGTTAAGTATTAAACATTTATTTTAAATTTGTTTATTGACAAACATATTGGGTATGTTTATATTTTAGTTTCGTTCAAAATAATTTAAAAATGGTTAATCAGTGCATTTTTTTGGTAAATTCATTATAAAGAAACGTAAGTTTGAGATTTGCTTTTCTTTTCTCATTTACTGGGTTTGCGGGGAAATAAGAACATAGTTTGGCAATTATAAGAACTTAGTTGGTGCCCCTTCAATTTGTCCACGATTTCCGGAATATTGTAAGCTATCCACCCCCTAGCTACCGTCTGAGCAACGTCGAAGGCTCGAAGGTTGACACCGCAACAACCGAAACTAATGTAATGTGACAAAATGTTTAGGCAGTTTCCCTCATTGGAAGTTGCAGAGTACATTTGGTGGGTTGCTTTTTTGGCGCCCTACAGGTCTTAGTTTACTGGTTTAATAGCCATCTGGCCTACTATTACTCTTACACTGATTTTACCAAAACGTTGCTTTATCATCATGAGCGAAAAAGCGCGGAACCTTTGAAACTAGTAATTTTCCATACAACTTATTTTCTATCTTTCTCTTATCCTCGCCTTACAACTGTTGAGTTGGCTATGACAATCGTCATCGTTATTTTAAACATCTAGTCTATATACTAGAGGAGGCAGTGAGACTTTTTTGGTACACATTTGCACAAGGTATTTTTAAACAGGCTTTTTTAAGACTTCATCGTCGAGGGCTTCATAGCTGCAGGGACTAGCAAAATATTTCCATGTTCTACAAATAATGAACGAAATATTTGTAATTTTGTCTTGCGCAACTAACATACTTAAAAGTTTTACTGGCTTACCAATAATAAAAATTACATTTGCGCATGTGTAATTGGAACTTAGGGTAGGAAACATAATAACAACAAATTTTGATGAAAGTAGGATTTGCGCATGAGTAATAAAGATCATCAATAACGGGAAAGGTCTATTGATAATAAAAAATAAATAATAAAAATGACAATCCGCAAGACAGACAATGTTGTCAACTCATACCGCTAATATACAAAAAACAATAGCTCCATAAGCTTGTAGAATAGACAAAACGAAAGACAAATAAGGTCAACTCTGGTTTTTCAATTGATTTTCCAGAGAAAATAAGGACAAACTCAAAAAGCAGCACAACAGTTCAATCACCGTTTTTATTAAACACAACAATAATAGTAGTTTTAAATAATTCCGAATAGGCAGCAGCGAGGCAAGGAGTTAACTTTCAGCTGACAAACATCTACATCGGGGGTGCATATACGGAAGGGGGTAATAGGGTTAATTACCCCTAACTTTTGATAGGTACGTCAATGTATTATCAAAACTAAAGTTTTAAATATTACCACTATCCCACCCCCTTGCCAGAGGTAAACTTTATTACCACTACCCCCCAGACTTAAACTCTAGATGCGCCACTGATTTACATTCCATTTGCCTGCAGAACATCGCCAGCATCCCGAAAGATGCGTTATAGGAAGAAAATTAATTGAAAATTTAATTATATTTTTATAATGATTTAATAAAGTTCAATTAGGTTGAAGAGATATTTTTATCACTTCATAAAATTTATCTAATTTAATGTTAAGGTAATTCTTGGTAAAAACATTCCTTCAAAATGTTGATATCTAATTAAGCAGAAATGGGGTAATTAAAGTAAATTACTGTAAATAGGAGTGCAAGAAATGTTTAATACATGGTTTATGACCATACTATTGTGTTTTAATATGCAATTATGTTTTAGATATCGGGTAATTTCCAAATTTTATTGCTAGGAAGGTACTTCCAATTTTAGTTTTAGTAACAGTCCAAATAATCTATATAAATAAAGGGACAAATCCATAACTTTAAATTTAGAAGGGGAAATTCGTTGTTGCTGTTTGCTGTTTAATAAGAAGATGCAGGTTATATAACAATTAACATGACAGCCATCATTTGAAGGACAAATGACCATTGTCACCATGAACGGAAAATTTTATGGCGACAAAAAAACAGTTATCGAAGATTGCAGTATAAAGCCGGCCAAAGTCTAACAGCGTATAAGATTAGATTTAATTAGGACTGTGGGCGATGTGGCCTCCCCCACCTCGACTTTTTCAGATCTACTGTGGATATCCTTTAACAGTTGTTTAGAGTACCTTGCCCAATTCGGTCTTTTGTAGCAAACTCCATAGACTGGGAGGTAGTTCTCTGGCATAGCTAGTTGCCCTTGGTTTTTCTTCTCCAAGTGTAAGGAATATCGATCTTGCTAGACCTTTGCAGTAGCCCAATACATGTTCTGCAGTTTCCTCCTCTTCCTGCAGACTCGGTACAAGGTTTCTTCTGTCAGACCGATATTATACATATGTTTGCCTACAATGTTTTGTTAACAGACCTACTAGTACTATAGTATTTGTCCCATTAAGGCTTAATAAATGCTCCGTGAGTTTAGGTGTGACAATGTAGAAAGTGCCGATAGTATCAGTATCATTGCCCAAATTGTTAATAACAGAATTAGGAAAAACTGTTATTATGCAAGAAGAAAGAAGACACCACCATTTTCGAAATCAAGTAATAAAGTGCAGTTAGCTCTAAATAATTTGGATGTGTATGGATGTGGAAGCTGCTCCAGCAGCTCAGCAGAAATCCCGTTTTTGGGTTCGTAGCACATGTTGAGGTTACTTGGGTAGAGGTGGATATGTTTTTAGTAGAGGCGGATCCGTTTCGGAAAGTGGTGGGGCTGACGGGATAGTACTTTGAGTAGTAAGAGTGATGGGGATTTGGACAGTGGGGATAGCACTTCCGAGGGAGATGTCTCGTTGTCTTTTCTGCGTGGTATATGAGAGTAGGTTGGCTTTCAGGCTCTCTGGGATATTCCTCTCCTTAATATGAATTTTCACCTGGTCCTTGTAACTCTCAGCGATTAACACTTTCTGCATCCCTTCTTTTTCTAGTTCTCGATAAGGTTTTCTCACCGAAGGTGTCCTTTTCGCCTACTTTTTGTTGATATTTTCAGCGTTACTTTCTCTGTCGGAGTTCCTTTGGGCCTCGTTATCGGTTTTGACAATACGCTTCGTTCCGACTGTTTCTGCAAAGTTTGGCATTGGTAGGTTCCCATGGTTTCACTATAGGGGTCTTCGAGATTAGAAAGTGTGAAGAATATGTTCTCCTGACTTTGAGAGCCTGGTACTAAAATCGTTGTCTCAGTATAGTGCTCTGGAGAAGTTTGTACACTTTTAATGAGAACAGGAGGTGTTCTTTTACCCGGTATTGGTGAAGTAACTTTCCCCTTGCTTTCTTTTCTAAGGAAAATCTGGCGTGGATTCGTTTTGAACGTGGAACGTATGGTACTGTTACGGGATGTTTACTTGGTACTCACGGTTTTAATTGTTTACGTTCAGTTTTTACTTATTGTCTTTAGCTTTATCACTTAGTTTTTAGAATACACAGTTTGACTGGCACTCATTTTAATGGGGTCGGCCCCGGCCCCACAGGGGTCCTATATTTAATGGTTTCACTCACTCCTGACGTTTATTTAGGGTTTCAAATTGTAAAATATAATTAGTAACGCCACTAGCACGTTAAGTGCTATTTACTAGTTTCTGTTCGTTATTATTTTTGATCACTTTGTTTGCTACCGCACTCGTACTAGAAATCAGAGGTTAGAAACACTTCTTTATTCATCGAGACTCAAGCACAGTATTAATTTAGAAAAGCTATTGGGTAGAGTAGTGAGTGTTGTGAATGCAACTCTGTCACAACATTTCCTAATTTCCTTCTCATATAATTCAATTTTGATTTTCAGGATGAACATGTTTGGTGGCAACGATTGTTCATCGCATCGTCAAATGAAAAACCATCCCGAACCAAGAGAATGCTCAGGGGTGCCTTCCTTAAATGGCACCAAAATGGTCCACCCGTCAGATACAGTTTTATATCACGGCAGCAACTTGCAAGACAACCGAATGGTTTGGGCGACTTTAACGCCCAGAGGAACGCAGCATTTTATTTCTGAGAACTATCCACCCGATTTAATAGATTATGGAGACGGAGAAGATCATTATGAAACAATAGATAACGTTGGTGCGGTACCACCTGTACCACCATATCCAAAAGGTTTGTATTCTTCAAATGTTGGTTGGCCTAATGAGGATAATTATTACTATTTTCCTATCTATACAGGATCATTATTGAGTTTAGTTATGGATTTATAGAGTAATGGTTTCAAAAGAATTAAATGAAAAACAGCAATCTTCATTTTGTATGCCAAGTGACTTCTTTTTCCTGCAATAATCCAGACTTTTCAAAGTTTTTATTTACATCTGGTAGTGAATTACCAAACTCCTCAGACTGACCTGATATGACTAAGAAAACAGTAATATTTCCAGTTATTTTAACCTTTATTTTTATTAGCCTACTGAACGGTTTACTGATTGAAATTGATTTATTTTGTAGGAGTTTGAAATTTTTAAAAATTGAAGTGTTATTGTATACTAAAAGCCAGCTACCGCCAGACCTACGTTATAGTATGAAGGTTAAAACTTTCATGTGTAGATAAGAACGTTTGGGTATTATGAACCTTGACTACGGGGGATCGGCAGATAACAGGTACCTAAAAATAATGGACAAAAACTTTATAGTATGAAAGCTGATTTTTTTATGTTCTAAGGTGTCTAAAAATATTTGCTGTATAGAAAACATTTTTATTGTTAACTTCTCAGATAATGTAAATAAAGTTATTGCATGATCTAAAACTCATTAAAAACTCAATGTATATGAAAAAATTGTACTATATACTACGGAGGTAAAAAAATTAGAATTTAGCTCAAGAGTAGACTTTTTTTGGAATCTATATATAGTTTTCTGGATGGTATCTGTAAGGTGGGGACGGTGCGTTGCTTTATAACCCTTAGGCCTCATAAGGCCTATTCTGCATCCTCCATAAGCATATAGAACCTGCCTCCTAACTTGTCTAGAGACAGCCATCTTCTCAGCTCATCAAAGTCCTGCAGGTTATCAACTGGTCAAAAACTTGCTGCGGGTGACGCTGATGGTGTCTACAGACATCCATCTTCTCAGCTTGTGAAAGTCCTGCAGGTTATTAATGTCGCCAAGAGGTGTCTCTGTGTGCTTCATTTCATTGGTGGGCTTATACCACCCAGAGGGTAAATGAACGGGTTAAGTCATTCTATCCACCTGCTCCACATTGCTGGATGGTGGTTACGATTTTTCAATATGTATCAATATGTATCAAGTTTGTAATGAGTTTTAGGTCATGTGCTCATTTCTATAAGCAATAACATTTTCTGGAAATTTAACAATAAAAAAGTTTTTTATAAAGTGCACATTTTTTGACACCTTGAAAGTATCTGGTGGACGTTACTCCTCGCAAAAAAAATTTTTATTGAAGATTATAATGTTTCCGTTAAACATAAAAAAATCAGCTTTCATACTACAATATAGTCTCTATTATCCGAGCTATTGAGAACAACCTGAAATTTCTAAAATATGAAAATCTTAAGGTTTAAAAAAACTTTGAATATTTGTCTGTCGCCATCGATTGGTATGTTATTATACGTACATTGGCGTTGTTTTCAAAACAAATACCGCCTCTGTATGTAGAAAGTGTTACAATTTTATCATCTCTGTACTCCTCAACATTATCCGTTTGAACCCACACTTCCAAGTCATTTTCCGGGATTTCTGCGATCACTGACTCTCTCAATATCTCAACAATCTCAAGCAGAGGTATGTTTGGCTCTTGCGAAAAATTAAGTTAATAAATTTTCTGTTTAACTTAGCGATGGTCTCTGATTTTACTTCATTCCAGGCTTAGGCTATCCAAAACATCACATCTTTTAGGTTCATTGCCTTAAAGTGAATTGTCAAATAGTCTTCAGTTTGGGTTGTCTCTAGTAGAGGCAATATCTGTATCTGAAGCTACAGATTTTCCGGCACGCTTTGGTCCATCGACTAGATTAGTGAAGTTACGTTTGGTGGAAAACCGTTATTTCGCTAATTACAAGTTCCTTGGAATTATGGTGCTCCATCACACATTATCAAGGAATAGTATGGCTTTTCTCGGCAAGTTCATCTTCTTTAAAATAAATATTGTATCACCATGGATACGAATTCTTCAAAAAAACAACATTTAAACGGTGTAGCATCCATTCACGACAAATTGAGCAAGCCGAATACTCTAGGGCTTGGTCAATTTTACAATCAACATAAGAGGTACATTGTGCGCACCACTTGTATTGGCTACATGTTAAGATTGTCGCTCTTTCTTTGCTTTGTTTGTGCCCTTGACGCTAATGGTGTTGTAGGTAACATTTTACAATTGAGTCCCGTCTCATCATAATTATAAATTTGCTTCGCAGTGTATTCACCATCTTGAATTTGCTGTCTAACCTCTTTATTGTACGAGTTAAAGACAGAAGTGTCTGCTAATAATTTTTCCCCAAAAACATTTAGATGGCGATTTAGCAATCCAATGCTTGCTTTGAATCCTTCAGATTCTTCTAGTAACTGCGTACATAGCACTAAGGCTTCCGCACACCGGTCCGGAGATAGAAACTTACTTTTCTCGCTGTTGTACAAACCATAAAAATAAAGCATCTCCTAATTTTTCATACTCGCTTTTCTTCATAGATTTACGTTCACTTGGCTTAGACACTTCTCAAGTTGGTTGCGATTTCGCCTCCAATTTACAGCAATTTTCTCCAAATTCAGCTGCAATATTTGACTGGGACTTTCCTTTATCAATCCGATATAAACCTTGTAACGTGAGATGTCTAGTTATTCAATGTACTTGTTTAATGTGTTTGAGCTCAATTGATTGGGCGTGGGTTAGGTTATTAAATAACTCGAATAACTTTGAAAAAGAAGTTGGGAATCACTATATTTAAAGCATACTATACTTGACTCTAGATTAGTGATAAAAATATAGAAAATCACTAACCACTAACAAATAATATTTAAACCATGCTTTAGATAAGGTAGTAGCAAATTGTAATTCACATAGTTTTACTAAATTCAAATTTAAGATGATTTATTAAATAGCACTTACTCGTATCTTTTGGTAAATGAAGGCAATATAAGGAATATAAAACTGGGTTATCGCATGGTATATCCTCAGGCAACTTCAACAAAGGTGTTCGGGATCCTTATTCGTAATTCTCCAACGTGAATGATCTCGTGATATTTGGTATTCTAACTTAAACACGAAACTGTCTAGATCTTCTATAGATGAAACAAACAACGGTCTTCAGATTGTACCAAAACCAAAACAAACTTCTAGGTATAAAAACAACCGTCTAGATATAGGCATGCTAAAAAAGGGTTAAAATATTAAGATAGGAAAATAGGAAATTTAAACAGGATCTAGATAAAATACTTTAACTAATAAATGAACAATTTAAAACTATAAAATGAATAATTTCACAGAGACTAAAATTAATATGAAAAGGAAAAATCTTATTTAATACATTTAAACATAGTAAAGCATTAAATACTATTCCAAAAAAATTATATATAATTTTATATAAAACCAACATGTGTTATCCATTTTTGAGGTTATGTTCAAAATTTGACAATTAATTTAAGAAATTCTTGTACAAAATATATATTTTCAACAATATATCATTATTAAAACTTACCTTATAAAATCAGACGGATTTTACGATAGATTAAAATCATTTAATACATCGGATGACCAAGATATGTTAAAAATCAAATCAAGTTGATTCGTTGTCATCCAAGTCAAAATTAATTCTCACAAGACGAATAAAGGAAGAAGAAGAAGACGACGACAAATGACATTTGAGTAAGAGATGATTGTGTCGAAATAACGAATAACGGTTCCAACCTTCTAGTTTTTTCTCAATAAAAACGACAACTGTCTTACGTTTTGTTACTGACATGCCGCGATTTTCTTAACCACTTTAAAGCCAAGTACAAGGAAAGGCGTTATTATTTATGATTTAAACCGACTGAGGTTGAGGGCCGGGGCGGCCGAATGGACTGTATTTATCTATTTTAAAATGTTTTCGAATGCACGAAAATACGATTAAAAATTTTGAAATGTCAACCTCGGATAATCGAAAATTCGGATAATCAATATTCAGATAATCGGAATTCTACTGTACAGTGGCGGTTTGCCCGTAAGAGCACTTGGGCACGTGCCCTAGTATAATACCAATGCATATTATTATTTTATCTAATATTCAGTGCAAACTGCGTTGGCACGACACTGGGCGACCGGGCGTTGAACGACGTTCCGAAGATGGGCACAGGGCACAGTAAATGTGTGCCTCTGTTGTTTTATCTCTCATTATGATGCGATAAACAAGGACAACGACAATATCGCTTAGCAAGAGATGAACACATGAGATGGATTATACGTCACAAGCAGAGCGCTGTCCCAGATTAACCTACACCAGACACGAATGTACGCGGCGGCAATAGCCTAGAGCTCCCACCACTTTCTTTCTAGATCCAGCTGAAGAAATAGTACGGAAGATTGCGTTGGCTCCAGTTTCAGCAGAGCTTGCGACCGTTGAACGTTTAGTCTGACCGCCTAGGTTACAATTTGTGAAATTTATTATGACGGGATATAAATTTGTAGATGTTGTGCATCTGAAAATAGAGATAGGACAAAATTTTAATTTTTCTTTTGGTTTTGTCTGACTTTTTCGAGGATTTCAAATCTCTGTTTGCATATTTAAGAGTATAAAAAATTCTGAGTCTTATAAATAATTTAATGGTGTACATTTTCGCAAATTGTTGGCAAGGATGACCAAATTCTATTTTGCTCATCTCAAAAAGGTATGCGTTGGAAATTCCAGGCTTAGTTGACAAACTATCAAATAGAGATATAAATATTTTTTCTAATTTGAAAATATAAAAGAGAAATTTTTCCCTGGGAGATTATAAATTGCCAAACGCCTATTCTTCGGAGTCGTATGCTTTAAAATGCGTTAACAAGTTAGAATTGTTAAGTAAATTGCATTCTTCTGAGAAATTTACGCAAATTTCGCAAGAGTGGATATGTAATGATTTTTTGATTAAATAGCTCCCTGTAGTCACATTAAGAAATCGTTATTGCCCCCAACTGATTGTTTTGAAATATATTTCATTTTCATTAAGCGGAGAACTTGTTTACCCAAGGGAAAAACGAATCCCGGGATTCCTTTCCAATGTGTGCCCCCACTGCCGCTAGTGTCCACGAGCCGCCACTGCTACTGTATAACGTTTTTACTTCACATTTTTTGGTATCTTGCGAACCTGTTATCTGCCGAACCTCCTCTGCACTCCCGTAATATACCCAAACGTTCATACCTATTATATAGTATACACACACATGAAAAAGTCTTAACCTTCATACTATAAGGTAAGTCTGGAGGTCGCTGGCTCTCACACTTGTCATTTCGTAAACCTGTCAATTCAATTCAAAATTTAAATGTTTTGGGTTATTACGTTATCTACTTCCACAGAATGACATTTATTACTTGACATTTTCATTGTAAACAAAGTTTATTATATAAAAATGATAATGCCGAACAAAAAATAAATTTCCGGGATATTGCTGGCCTTTTGCTGTAATTGAATGCAACGATTAAAAAAATAAAAGCCTACTTTTGGCCTTTCGATAGTGTTTCTACTGTATTGTTACTTGATGATGATGGCCTTATGAAGGGTAAAAGCATGTAAAAGAAAAAAGGCTTTTAACTGCCGCAGACCCAATTCCAACAGTCCGGCAGGGCTCCGTTCCGCGTTCATAGATGGAGACACCCATGAACGCTTCCTAGGTACTTAACGAGTGGACATGTACTATGCAACCAGTCTGGCATTTCTGGTATCCACTATTCAGTATTCATTGTAATTTCTTACGTTTACATGTTAATTTAGAATACATTTTTTCTGTATTAATAATTATTTAGCTGAATTAAAATGCTGCAATATTCTATATTGGAATATGCCTTCTATTTTTATATACAATTTATAGTTCAAACGATACTACTGGTCAAAGAGGCACTATCGAATCTCCTGTTTGTTCATGTGCCTGGCACATGGCCTTTACTCAACAGTCAGTATTAATATAGTAAAAGGCCAGCAATTTTCCGTTAACTGCCAATATATTTATTTCTTGAGACTAAAGAGAAAATGGAGGCCTATTAACTGGATTTAATTAATGTGACTTCAGCCCAACTGTCGGCCGTAGTGACCTATACAGGGTGGACCGGATTTAATTTGCGTATACAGAGATATCGTAAACCGTAAGATTAACATTGTCGGTTAAATGGGGAAAAAGATTCGTATTTTAACGGATAATACAATGGCCCATAGAATTTCCAGATTTTATGACTGGTTCCGGAGATATTCGATAAAATCCGAAAAATGTCATTTTCGTTTTTTAAGTCGTGCGTTGTTATTATAAAAGATACAAAAAAAACTATACGAAGTTTTTGTTATAAATGAAGTTCCCTATAATCTGCCATGTCAAAATTTTTATTACGACGTTTTGTATTTGCAGGGCCACCTTCTACTTACTTTTTTAAATACGGACCTGGATTTCTAACTGTAATTTTTTATAGCTTTTGTATAGCTAAACACAACGATATGTTACACTTTACCATTTTACTACGTTTCGTCTATGAAAATATCATCAGCTATGTAGCTTCTGATGATACCGTTTCTTATTTGATTACAACAAGATAGCTAATTAAATAATATTTAAAAAACAAAAAATGCTTAAAATATGAAATTTTAAATATTATTTGAAACATAATACAAGCATTATTTAATTACAAAATGGGTTACAATTTTTTTATCAAACCTGATTAAGTACAACCAGCAAACAAGACTAATGAAGAACGAATTCTGGTTGTACACATTCTACAAATAATAAAGCTAATAACAAAAACAAAATTCAAAATCAAAAACAGTCACAATAGTTGCTCAAAATGTAGTCCATTCTGTTGGATACAGAATGCAATTCTCCTAGACATTTGGGATGTAGTTTTATCAAATGCATCTACTATTCGTTGACGAAGTTCTTGTTGATTATTTGGCATATTTTTGTCGTAGATTTGGTTCTTTACGAAGCCCCATACAAAATAATCCATGGGGTTAAGACACGGAGATCGAGGAGGCCATCTTATTGGTCCATTGGTACCAATCCAATTACCTCTAAAATATTGATCGAGATACTCTGCAACCATCCTAGCATTGTGTGCACCACAACGGTCTTGCATAAAGTATTGAAGATTTTGTCTTGTTTGTAAGAGCATCTCATCGAGTACTTCCTCCAATAAATGTAGGCATCGGAACTGATTTAAATTGCCATCCAAAAAAATCGGCCCAATAATCTAATTATTGATTAGTCCACACCACACATTTTGGGTAAAACGGAACTGTGATCTAACTTCTCTGATTATATGGGGATTAGAAGTAGCATACAAATGCTTGTTCCTGGGATTAAATATTCCACTATTAGTAAAGGAGCATTCATCCGTCCATAATATCTTTTTGTTGAAAGAACGGTCATTGCGCAGTTTTATACTATACCAACGACAAAACATCAGTCTTCTATCAGAGTCTCCAGCGGTGTAATTTCTGGACTTTTTGAAATGTATACCCGTGGTATTTATGTTTCTTTTAACCGTGGAGGTTCCTACTACACATTCTTTAGCTATTCGCCTAGTAGAATTTTTAGGGTTATTATGTATTTGGGCAAGAACATTAATTTCATTATCAGTATGTCGAACCTGTTATCTAGTTCTCCTTTTTTTCATACTGCTATGCTCTGCCATATTTTTTGAAATATAAGAAAACATCCTCTTAGATGGCTGTTGTCTATCAGGATATAAATCTAAATAAGTCTGAGCTGACCGGGTTTCATTCCTATAGCATCTTATGTACACATCATACATATCTTTCTTCTCTTCTTCAGTATAACGAACCATAATATTTATTTAATCTTAAATTATTTAAAACTAAAAAAGTACTGTAGTAATATTAGATGTTACAGATTATAACACAAATATTGGTAACAAGTTACAACTGACATGCATGGCAAACATGATTTTGTTAAGATCTTATGTATGCAAAAATGAAAACATTAAAGATAGAAAAAATACGGTGTGAGAAACCTAAACGAAAAATTTTACAGAAAATCAGGTGATAGGAATTTATAGATTGCTTGACCGTTTTGTTTTTCATTTTATGTTTTTGTTATTAGCTTTATTATTTGTAGAATGTGTACAACCATAATTCGTTCTTCATGTTTGATAAAAAATTGTAACCCATTTTGTAATTAAATAATTCTTGTATTGTGTTTCAAATAATATTTAAAATTTCACATTTTAAGCATTTTTGTTTTTTAATTATTATTTAATTAGCTATCTTGTTTTAATCAAGTAAGAAACGGTATCATCAGAAGCTACATAGCTGACGATATTTTCATAGACGAAACGTAGTAAAATGGTGAAGTGTAACATATCGTTGGATTTAGCTATACAGAAGCTATAAAAAATTACAGTTAAAAATCCAAGTCCATATTTAAAAAAATAAGTTGAAGGTGGCCCTGCAAATACGAAACGTCGTAATAAAAATTTTGACATGGCAGATTATAGGGAACTTGATTTATAACAAAAACTTTGTATAATTTTTTTTGTATCTTTTATAATAACAACGGACGACTTAAAAACGAAAATAAGGTTTTTCGGATTTTATCGAATATCTCCGGAACCAGTCAGAAAATCTAGAACTTCTATGGACCATTGTATTATCCGTCAAAATACGAAACTTTTTCCCCATTTAACTGACAATGTATATCTTACGGTTTACGAGATCTCTGTATACGCAAATTAAATCCGGTCCACCCTGTATATGCTGACCTTTTAATTATAAAAGTTAAATGACCATCATTATAATTGGAGGGTAACAGTTATTGGGCCTTTTATTACCTTGCACAAAATGTCTGTTGGGTGCGACAAAAAAATGAACAGTAATAACGAAATCATAATTAAAATGTCCATGAAAAGACATAAAAGTCTAAACACAAACCAACTTTTCTCCGCAATCCAACAAAAACCTTTTATCCAACATTTGAGCAGGTTGTTTAAAAAAATTGTCATTCTATGAAAGTACCAACTTAAAACATTTTCCGATAGTTCGTTATACAGAGTGCACAATCATATCTAAATAATCACAGAAGCCACTGTTGTTAACCAGCAGTATATGATATATTTAAAGAATAAAAATAAACAATCATGCATCCATTATCGCAATAAAATTGTATAAAATCATGTAATTTAAATTTTTATGGCATATATTCGCAAACTAATTGCGTTAGAATCGTTTTCAATCAGTTAATCCAAAACACGCTGTAGTGTTAGTTGTAGTCATAGCCAGTAGAAACCTCTTTTTCAGCATTAGAAAAATCGAGTTTTGACAATTCTGGCTTCCTAGATTACGAATACGAAGATCCGACGCCATTGATCGAGAGCTACCAACTTAACAACATTGAACCGGAATCGTCGCACTACCAGATGATTGGTAACACTGATATGCGTTGCTCAAACTTCAATACACTGAGACGACATTTACCATTAGCCAGACCTAGAGTGTCTTCTCCAACTAGAATAGAACATCCGAATTTGCCGCCTTTAAATCTGTATCCGCATAAAGGGACGCTCAAGAAAAATGGTACTTTAAGTTATAGAGCAGTTGAGGGTAATACTTTACCAAAATATGGCTTGTAATTTTTTTTAAGCTTTGTCTCACCCTACTCTCGATGTGATAAGTCTAGGAAGATTTTCTCTGACATTTAAACATTGTGAAGTTGACAGAATATTTAGTAAATAACACCAAAATAACTACAGTACTCTCGAAAAGATATCGTAGTGTCAACATTTTCTGAAAAAATAATTAAAAATAGAGGCATTTAATCATAATAAAAGCAATGCTTTTAAAATTAGATGTCTTGGTCATAAATTTCAAAATTCCTGAGATTAGATTCAACTGTCTGAAAAAAAAGTCTACAAAGTTAATGGTTGGACGATATTAATAAAATATTGGAAGTAAATTGCACCAAATAGTCCTGTATTGGGACACATTCATATTTTTAATTTACTATTCTATATTTGGCCCTGAATCAATATGTAGGTCTACTTGATCAGTATTATATTTTTGTTTATACTACAAATTTTTCAAGTAAGCTATGGGTCAAATTATATAAAATTTCTAGTAGGTTCCTACATAATACTGAATGTTAAAAGTTTACAAATAGCAGCAAAACATGTTGGTGTCAATTTGTGTTTGGATTTCAGAGAAAATTTTTCATAGACAAAATTAAACATTACCTAGTCACTATTTACAAAATAATCTGGATGTGATTTTTATATTTTACTTATTATTGTTTTCGGTGTCTATATACCTGATGTGTTAGTTTTGTTGGATGTTTAACAATAAATTATTATTCTCCATGATATTATAATGAGGAGTAATACACTATTTGTTATAAAATATGCAGTTTCATTTTAAACTATTTAACTTTTAAATGAGGCTTTTTCATTTACTAGTTACATATTTGTGATAATATTTATTATTATACGCCGTAGAACGCAAGTCTAAATTTTATTCCACGTTCCAGACCGCGGACGTACCTACACTAGTTTTTTCGTCTTATCTACTAATACGAATAATAGGTCTGGTAAAAGTTCGCAAGTGGCAGGTAAGTGATATCAGTTAGAGAAATACCTATATTCTTATAATAAATTATTTTAAAAAGTTTTCAAACAAACTCCTCATTTCCTACGAGTAGGTATGATATTTACAGCATGAACTACAGGGGAATTCTGTAAATCATACGAATAGGAAAGGAGCATTTCTTGCAAGTTTAACAGTATGCTTTTTCTATGGTTATAGGTTATAACACGCTGCTACCTATTTTTAATTAATTTTTATAAAAATTCAAATCTCTGACATTTCACGGCACACATGATTTTATTAAAATAATTAGGAAATGACTATGCATATAGAGACAGTTTTACTCAAATTCTACTATAGTCTAGAGAAGAAATAATTTAATTTGCAGAACGTATTATAGGTACAAGAGGCAGACATTTTATTTATACATCATCCTCCAGTGCTTATTTGCAGTTAAAATTAAATTTTATTACATCTGATCAGCATAATAAAAAGTTTTCGTATAGATTTAATATGTTTCCAAGTTTTTACTGCAATAAACCTTTTCTTTCGAAATTTTTTATTTGAAGAATTTTCTTGTATAAAGTACCCCCAGATGTTCTAATCAGTTCACCTCAGGTCGGAATAAAGCATAAGTTTAAAATTTAAGTTATTTTTCTTTATCCGTTTTTGAGTTTTCTTCAAAATTCAAAATTTTCACTTTTTCACAAATCTCTCGAATACGGTCCATTTTACAGAAATTATGTATAGAACAAGAATTATAGAGAATTATATCATAAACAACTTTTATTTGAAGAATTTTCTTTTCCAAATGTAAATAACAGATATATTTCATAAAATATGAACTATACGAAACAAAAGTGTAAAAAAGGTATCAATATTCTACGTGTTGTCTCCAGACAAAAATGGGGCGCTGATACCAATATTTTCTTACTTTTTTATAAATCATACATTCGTTCAATTTTGGATTATTGGTGTACTCTGTATGGTGCATCATCGAAAACAAATTTAATGGTAATCGATCGTATTCAGTATAAATCTTGTATAAATCTATAAAAAAATGTCTAGGCGTGATGATCCATCACCTAATGTTGCAGTCCTAGCGGAAGCCCAAGAACCTCCGTTATTTTTAAGAAGAAAATATTTAGCTAAAAAACAACTTATTAAGTATAGAACATTTAACATGAATATGATCACTAAAATTTCAAATATAAAAACTAGCTGATGCCTTTACTGATACCAGCCTCTGCATAAAATACATTATTAATAGTAACCTCCTCCGTATATATATAAATATGACTATAAAGTATTAATATTTAGCCCAATATTTATTTTTCCAACATATATTGAGATACCTAGCCTAAAAAAATACTCTTAAAATCAGTACTGAGCAGGATAGGTACAAACTCCATACACATTTTTACAGATGGGTCCAAGGATGACGGTGTGACAGGAGCAGCGTTTCTTATTTCCAATATAAATTATATTGAAAAGTTCAGTATACCTCATCTGCTCATCTATTTTCAATTTTCACAGCAGAAGCTGTAGCCATTAAAGAGGCATTAGAATGGTGCAAGTTAAATCCAATTCAATCAGCAGTTATTATGTCAGACTCTAAGTCTGTTCTACAGGCTATCCAAGGCTATCCAAGGCTATCATTTGCACAAGATAGGTTTAAGAAGCACACCTGACTGCGAGTGCAGTAGTAATGCAGTAGCAGATATAAATCACCTGTTTCTCGAATGCCTAAATTTCACAAATTTCACAAATTTCAGAGCTTTATAATTCATTCTTTATGTCTTCAAAACTTTCCATTACCTTTAAATGTGGTAACACTTCTGGCAAGCAACAAGAAATATGTTTTCTATATTTTTAATTAGGTTTATTCTAGACACCAAGATAGAGATATAGTTATCTAGTTTCCTGGTTTACACATTTTATTGACTTAATCATTCTGTGGCTAATGGACAATGTCCAAGGCTAACTTTTTTTTCACACATACACACACACACACACACACACACACACACACACACACACACACACACACACACACACACACACACACACACACACACACACACACACACACACACACACACACACACACACACACACACACACACACACACACACACACACACACACACACACACACACACACACACACACACACACACACACACACACACACACACACACACACACACACACACACACACACACACACACACACACACACACACACACACACACACACACACACACACACACACACACACACACACACACACACACACACACACACACACACACACACACACACACACACACACACACACACACACACACACACACACACACACACACACACACACACACACACACACACACACACACACACACACACACACACACACACACACACACACACACACACACACACACACACACACACACACACACACACACACACACACACACACACACACACACACACACACACACACACACACACACACACACACACACACACACACACACACACACACACACACACACACACACACACACACACACACACACACACACACACACACACACACACACACACACACACACACACACACACACACACACACACACACACACACACACACACACACACACACACACACACACACACACACACACACACACACACACACACACACACACACACACACACACACACACACACACACACACACACACACACACACACACACACACACACACACACACACACACACACACACACACACACACACACACACACACACACACACACACACACACACACACACACACACACACACACACACACACACACACACACACACACACACACACACACACACACACACACACACACACACACACACACACACACACACACACACACACACACACACACACACACACACACACACACACACACACACACACACACACACACACACACACACACACACACACACACACACACACACACACACACACACACACACACACACACTAATTTAATTGCCAGAATTAATACTAAAATCGTAAAAGCGGCTGTGGAGCTAAGGACAGAGCTTCTGCCTTCCACGCGAAATACCCAGGTTGGATTCTGGGGTGGGGAGTACATAAATAATTTTTAAGCTATTGCACAGCTTTTATCGCGGGCTTTGAGTGCGGCGACCGAATCAAGAAATTCCGTAACGACCGTAACGAAAAAAAACACCTCCCACTCCGACCGGCACAGCGGAGCGGCGTTAAACAATATTAACTTCTCATTTATTCAATAAAATAAAATCGAAAAATCGAAAAATCGAAAAATCGAAAAATCGAAAAATCGAAAAATCGAAAAATCGAAAAATCGAAAAATCGAAAAATCGAAAAATCGAAAAATCGAAAAATCGAAAAATCAAAAAAACGAAAAGTCGAAAAATCAAAAAATCGAAAAAGAAATTCTCACTCCTCACTCCGACCGGCACAGCGGTGCAGCGTTGAAAGCCGTGCATTGTCTAACGTCGTTTGACTTCAGCAGACTTCGGCACGGTGTTTGTGTGCTTGTGATTAGATGTATGCGTGTAGACTAGCTGCTAACTGCTCATAACTGATTCTATCTCTTTTAGACACAATTTCGGAAAAATTGAATTTGAATCATGATCCTCAAGAATACACAACAAAATATGGACCACCATTGACGCGGTATTTTCCAGATATTTAGAGGATATCAAGTCTTAAATTTATGTTTCTTATTTCAGTTACCATAAACCTATAGTTTCAATGATAAAAATTCCTGAATAACCTACATGTATTGTAAGATAATAAAAATATTTTAAATAATATTACTTCTCATTTATTCATTAAAAGAAAAAAAAATTGTTTTCTTATCATTTTGACACTTGCTGCGATTACAAAAAATGTCACTTTATATGTCAAAATTGGAAAATATCTTTTTTGTGGTATTCTATTTGTTTTTAACGTAATCTTAATCCATGAAACGAACGTATTTGCTGTGTTGCCGATAACAGTGATCAGCAACGTCACATTATTTTCTAATTTCAAATATGAAATTACAACAAAATATACATTAAAAATGGGACAAAGAACAACTGAAGATGTTATAAAGTAGAAAATCCAAATTTTTTGTTTACTTAGTATAATTTTACAAAATTTGGCAAACGTTTTTGATATCATAAGAACGTTTGTATCGGATTATAGATTTTTTAAAGGTAGGAACTTCAAAATTGGAATTGTAGCTATCTATTATAAATAAATAATGATGTATTTCAGGGTTTTTGGATCTTAACATTTTAAGGGGGAGAAATTGAGGGTAAAAGTTTGTAGTGGTATCAATTTTTTTTTAAAGGTAGGAACTTGAAAATTGGAAGTATAGTAACTCATAATAATTAAAAAATGATATATCAGAGATTTTGGATTTTACATTTAAAAGGGGGCGATCTCATTTAAAACGGGCAAGGTTAAATTCAAGAGACTAGTTAGTAACCACTATCTACCTCCTTGTTCCAGTGGATTTTATAATTCCATTAGTTCAGCTCAATGAAATAATGAATTCATGTTAAAAAGTACGCGAACACCTTAAACAAATTCAACCTTGCACGTTTAAAGTAAGTCCGTAGATTCTGTTTTTATTGAACAAGCAATTTATAGCAGTTATAAAACAGTTATAAAACAGTTTTAGAACAGTTATATAAGAGTTGTAAAAGGTTATAAGACATTTATAGGACAGTTATAAAACAATTAATATAAGACAGTTATAATATAATTATAAAATAGTTATAATAATGTTATAAAAGTTATAAAATAGTTATAATACTGTTATAAAATTTATAAAACAGTTATAAAAGAGTTATAAAACGGTTATAAAACAGTTATAAAACAGTTATAAAACCGTTATAAAACAGTTATAAAACAGTTATAAAACCGTTATAAAACAGTTATAAAACAGTTATAAAACAGTTATAAAACAGTTATAAAACAGTTATAAAACAGTTATAAAACAGTTATAAAACAGTTATACAACAGTTATAAAACAGTTATAAAACAGTTATAAAACAGTTATAAAACAGTTATAAAACAGTTATAAAACAGTTATAAAACAGTTATAAAACAGTTATAAAACAGTTATTAAATAGTTATTAAACTGTTATTAAACAGGTAATAAACAGATATTAAACAGATATTAAACAGATATTAAACAGATATTAAACAGATATTAAACAGATATTAAACAGTTATTAAACAGTTATAAAACAGTTATAAAACAGTTATTAAACAGTTATAAAACCGTTATAAAACAGTTATAAAACAGTTATAAAACAGTTATAAAACAGTTATAAAACAGTTATAAAACAGTTATAAAACAGTTATAAAACAGTTATAAAACAGTTATAAAACAGTTATTAAATAGTTATTAAACTGTTATTAAACAGGTAATAAACAGATATTAAACAGATATTAAACAGATATTAAACAGTTATTAAACAGTTATTAAACAGTTATTAAACAGTTATTAAACAGTTATTAAACAGTTATTAAACAGTTATTAAACAGTTATTAAACAGTTATTAAACAGTTGTTAAACAGTTATTAAACAGTTATAAAATAGTTTTATAGTTATAAAACAGTTAGGAGGAAATTGTTAATATCGATCTCCTTGGAATATTTTTTTGATAAAAGCTTTACTATCATACGAATTTTAATCTAGGGGGGAGGAGTAGAAAATTTATTTTTTTTTTCAAATTACTGGTTGGATTTGTTATTCACTTTTGGTATTACCTGGTAATTTTTTCTTGTTTTTTGTTTAGTCGTTTATTTTGGCGGGTTAGAATCCTTCCGTGGACAGAATTTTTTTATTAAATTTGTTTTGACCTTGGGGGTTTGTTTTAAAATAATTTTCATTATTTCGTAGGGTTATTAATGGGAGTAGTTTGGGGATTTCCAAGGAATTTATCATCCTATGTTTCGAATCATTAAATGACAAGTTTCGGAACTTTTAAAACATCTTCTCACTAGCTTAGTTTACGTTGTAACGTATATTGAACACTTAATACATCACAGACGACCTGAGGAAGTACCGTCATGCTAACGTATGTTTTTCCCACACGACGATATTCAGTAGTTTGTTAAATACTTGAAAATTTTCTGTAAATGAAATCACGACGATATTCAGTAGTTTGTTAAATACTTGAAAATTTTCTGTAAATGAAATTGTATTCAAAATCTTATATACATCCTAATAATTGGGATGTCAGTGACCATGTCCTGATAGCTCAGTTGGTAAGATCGGTATGTGTAGAACACGGATATTACGTGTTCGAATTTCTTGTGGACAGATTTTTTTTAAATTTTGTATTAATATTGTTTTCACCTTGAGGATTTAAAATATTTTCCATTATTTCGTAGGAATAATATTGGGTTGTTTGGGGATTTTCAAGGAATTTATCAATTATTAATAAGAAATTCAATCTTGAAATAACCAAATAATCGTTCAAAGAATTAACTAAATTATGATATCATTTGTGATTGATGATATATTTTTTAAAGTTATTTATTTTTCAGATAAATTTAAAACCGAACACCTATTGAATTCACTGGAAATGGTCAGTTTTATAGGACAACCTAGAGAACAACTGAATACATAACATTATGTTAAATATTATAAACAAATAGTACAATGCGTATTCAAAGTTTACAAAATCGATCTCCATTTCTGCTTAAATTAACTATTTTAATAGTCCTAATCATCTTTTTTATGCAGTATACTTCTATGTCTCTATCTCAAAATAAAATAAATGCATCAGAGAATATTTTCGAAAATCAATCTATAACAAGGCAAGCTAATAACATCGCCCGAAGCCGATATAAAAGTGATGAAACGAAAAATACAACAAATCAATCAAAAATTGACGTAACTAAAACTGCTTCTGTAAACGAACCTAAAATAATCGATTATAAAGAAGTTTCTACGAATCAATCAGATGTATCAGGAAGAAAATATACTTCATATATTAAAACGTATAACAATTTCGAAAAGGAACAATCGCTATGCCTATCCAATTCAAAAACAAAACAACTTTCTAAAAAACGAAATTGTCCAAATTCAGGCATAGTCACTGTTAGAGAAGGAGGTCGCCTCGGGAATCAAATTTGGGAGTATATATCAGTATGGTTGGTAGCAGAAGAAACCAGCATGGAACCCTATGTGCCCAGCTGTATCAAATCAAGACTCAGCACTTTATTTGACAATTTAAATTTACCAGTTATTCGAGATATATATCATTGTGCTATTAAAGAAACATCCAAAAATCAAAACATCATTTTACCAATGTATATAGTTAAGCCCGAATTATTGGCACACCGAATAAATGATATAAAACAAGTATTTAGTATTAAGCAAACGTTGTTAGTTCAAAGTCAAAAGAAATTACACGAAGGTGTAAAATATTTAAATTCGACATTTCATACCTTCGTCGGAGTACATGCAAGAAGAACGGATTATATAGTATATTTAAAAAGAAAATATAATATTGTACCACAAGTGACTAATTTTTTTGAATCTGCTATGTCGTATTTTGAAAATAAATATCCTAAAACGATTTTTATTTTTATAAGTGATAATCCAAACTGGTGTTTTGGCGAATTTGGTGCTAAGAAAAATGTTTATGTTACTGGAAGAGGTACCAAACACTCGCCAGAATTGGATGTAGCCATAATGGCGTCTTGCAATCATTCTATTATAGATTATGGAACTTTCGGACAATGGGGGGCGCTTCTTGCGGGAGGGGAAACAGTATACTATGAAATTTCTCCAAAGTATCCGTCGGACCTATTAGGAAAGCATTTAAGTAACTGGCATACAATCAAATTGTCTTGAATTTAAATACCTAGTAGTTTGTCACAGAGGTAAAATAAAAAAAAATTACAAAACAGACTCGCTTAACTTTTTCGGACTGGGTCGTAAAAGTGTTTTGCTGCAGTTCATTTGAAGTATACAGGGTGTCGTCCGGAAATACCGTTCAAATAATTCCATTAGAACACATAATAATTTTTTCCGGAAATGCCATAGTTTTCAAAATACAACTTTTATCGGTTTTTTATAAATATCTTAAATATTCTTTGGCCGATTTCGTTGGAATTTGGTACTGTTGTTTGTAGTAGTAAAGAACTAATTTAGCATTAACTAGAATCAAATTATGAAGTCTAGTGACCTTCCGGGAGGCTCCTTACCGAATATTATTGACAAAAAAAATGGGCTCCATTGAATTTTCAATTTATTTTTAGGATTAAACAAATAAAAACAACATTTTTGTGCATTTTTGTGCATCGTTTTAGTAAAACAGAAATAAATAAATAAAAACCAAATTATTGCATATCTTTGGGCAACAAGTTCTATTAACAACTGGGATGTACTTGCATTTTGAAAACTATGCAATTCCGGATCCACGTTTATCCGAAAAAAAGTTGATGTTTTCTTACCTCTGAAATTATTCGAGCGTTATTTACGAACACCCTGTAGAGAAAAATTCTTATTTTCGATTGTTTTCTATTCGAAAAATGACGTTCCTTGTCACACTTGAATAAAAAAGTTCTTTGGTGCAATCAAATAAAACATTATTTATTTCTTATATCGAATTTTCTATGTATTTATTTAACATTATTTTCCATTATGCATTGTATTTTTTACACATACGGTTTATGTATTTTTAAAGAATAAAGAAACCAAATTAAAGAAGCTTAAGAGGTTTTATAAAGAAGTTTTATTGTTTCGGTTCAAAAATTATTGTTTCTACGGTCTCTATGCAAAGTAGGCATTTACGCATTCAAATCTAACTAAAAAGTTAATTGTTCCCGCAATTTATCAAAATTTGACATTATTGGCACACTCGTGCGCCAAAGTTACTTTGGCGCATGCTTATTTTCATTAGAAAGATCACCCACAAACGGGATAAGTGATTAGTAATTTTGGGTGACTGTTATGGGTTAAAAGATTTTATATTTGATAAATAGCAATAAAAACAAAATTACTTATCTTCTTCAAAATAATTTATTTTAAATTATAAATTGACATGTTTTTAAAATCGAGTTGTAAATATAAGTAGTTAAATGTCAAATTTTAAAGTCTTCTTTTCCTTCCTATTCTCATCAAGAACCACAGAACTTATTAATTAGATATCTAATTATTTTAAATTATCATATGGCCAACCTTATATATCAAATTACACTAGAATTAGCTGATAAACTCTCCGAGCAATTACTACTAGAGGGAGTCTTCCCCCCTTCCCCGCGCTAAATTTTGTTAGCAACATCTACTCCCCCCGAGGGGGAAAATACCTCTTCTGTATTTGGCTTATTTAATTAGCGTTGCCAAGTTTGACAGCGCCAATTCTGACACATGTCAATTTCTTATTTGTATTTTACGGAAAATATTATTATTTATAACGTTGTAAGGGTTATAAATGTATATTTAAGATTTATTATCTCTAATAATATGGTGAAAACATGCTTTATGTGTAAAGGTTTTTATAATATATATTATACAAATCACAACGAACTACACAAAATAACATTATTAATAATTTAGCAATAAAAAAGTTAAGTACAATGATGATGACATTAAAAGTTGAGTTTCTCGAAATACTTTTTTTAAATTGTCTCAGTACCTATACCTAGTATTTTTCTAGCACAATGATATTATATGAATGTGCATTGTGTGATATCTTATATTTTAGGAATAAAATGATATATTTTTTTGCAGGTTTCTGTTAACAACGATTCCAAGAACTTTTGAAAATATTATTAAAACGGCCTTTGCAAATATAATTCTCAATTAAGAGCTTTTGATCTAACATTAAATTTTTATTCTCCATAAGGTTACAGCTTCCTAAGAAGAAAGTTTAACAAGACTTACCAGACCCAAAATATCAAATGTTTACCAACCAATTGATGGTTCTACTGGTTTCCATAGGAAAATTCTCCTCGAAACTACTAAAAGAAAAGTGGCAGAGGCAACCGAAGAAGGCAAAAAAGTCTTTTGCAGAACAAAAATAGAAATTTGTTTAAAAATCTAATTATTGTTTGAAGTTTTACCATTAATAATTTTTGATAACGATTTAAGATTATGAAGTTCTATTATGTATTTTACTCTTTGATAACCTGTTTAAATTTTTATTAGGACCAAAATAAATTATAATTTTCATTTCAACTACAAAAACCCTCATAATATTAAAAAGGGGAAAACGTTTGATTAGTTATGTTCAGGAATAAACTCTTTAGACATGTATCTACTTAAAATGTATTACTTTAAGAAGGTATGTTAATAACTTTCTATTTGTACTTGTATTAATTTATTTCATTTTATTATCTATTGTATTTTCAAATTGATTTTGATATTAATCTTATCTATTTATATATTTTTTATAATCACATATATTTTTTTTCATTGAAACAAACGTTTATTAGCTTAGTAAATATAATGAATTCATATTGTTTTATTATATGCTTGTATGAATGATTACTTTTATTTCCTTTTAAAAATGAATTTCGAAGATAAAGCCGAAACGGTGATTGAGAATAAAAAATTAGACGAAAGTGACGATATTTACTGGAGATTTCATCTACACGCTCCTTTTTCTAGCCAGCTACACCTGAGCCAGCAAGATTCGTTATCCCTCCATCCTTACATTCTCCAGATTTACAGAGAAAACGCCGTCCTCTTTAACATATCCAGACCTTCTTTGACGGGGACTATGCCACTACATTATCAGCTTTATTTGTTATCCCGAGCAATTTAAATGCATTCGTAATTGCTCATTCTCACCTCTTCTCTTGTAGATTCCGTACTTAGTTTTCTTATTTTTAGTTACGTTTGCACTGCTCTTTTATTTTCACAGCTTTAATTCTATAATGCGGTAATGCTACAATATGGATCCATTTTTGTGGCTTATACTATTTAATGTTATTCGTAAGTGACCAACCTATTATAATAATTAAAGATTATTGTATTACAGGCCTGAAGATGTTCCTGTAAGGCCGAAACTAGTCGCTCCTGTATTTATAATAAAATTGATTTTAAGGTTTTATTCTTTAATTGAAAAAATTAGACCTTTACAGTGATTTTGTTTCTTTTCCTGCATTAGACACACATAAGACGGTATTCATTTTAAAAATAGTAAAATTAGCAAAATTTTTAGTTTTTTTTTACAATTAAAACGTTTGGACAATGTGTGTTTTTATAGATAAATGATACGCCACTGAACAAGAAGGATGTTTACCTTCCTGCTTATGCCCGCTTCCTCACTTCCTCTACAGATGTTGCTAACACAACATTCGCCTACAAACTCGTTTCCACGCTCCCTCTATTAGTAATTGCTCGGAGGAATATACAATAGAAAAATATAACATATCACTTTAGTGTCACAAAGTTACAGATTTGACATATATATTTCTTGTTTTCTGTGTCAAAGGTTTGGTTTTATATTAATTGTAATTTTTAATAAATAAATGTTTTAGTACAGGCTCTTTTCCGAAAATTCTGAAAAATGGTCTAGTTAAACCACTTTATAAAAGTGGAAAAAAAACGGAAATGGTTAATTACAGGCCTGTATCACTGGTGTCAAATATTTCGAAAATAATAGAAAAAATAATAAAAATTAGACTTTGTTCCTTCTTAAAAAAATATAAAATTTTATCCAATCGGCAGTATGGCTTCAGAGAATCTAGGTCGACTGAAGATGCGATATATAAGTTAACTTCTCTTATTTATGATTCGCTTGATAATAATATTCCTGCTGTGTGTATCTTCCTAGATATCTCTAAAGCATTTGATACCGTTTGCCACAAATCGTTATTAAATAAATTAGAGAAGTATGGTATAAGAGGAAATACCTACAAACTCATTGAAAGTTATTTATCAGATAGGGATCAAATAGTAGAAATCGATGGAGTAATGAGCACACCGCAAACAATTACTTACGGTGTACCTCAAGGAACCGTTCTTGGTCCACTTCTGTTCCTTTTATATATTAATAGTATGCTTTTCTTGAATATTCAGGGTGAGCTCATCAGTTTTGCAGATGACACTGTAGTATTTTATAATTCATCCAACTGGCAAGATCTAAAAAATAAAATAGAAAATGATTTTCCTTTTATTACTAAATGGTTACAATTCAATAAATTAACGTTTAACTCTAGTAAAACAAACTACTTACCTTTTTCATCCTACCTAACTGGGTTACCTAACTTGGGGCCACTGAACATCGGGACGACTAACCACATTGTAGAAGCAGAAAAAGTAAAATACCTCGGTATTACAATTGATCGTCATATGAGATGGGATCTACAATGTAAGGAAATAGTAAAAAAAATAAGAGGTCATTTGCCAAAATTTAGGTATTTAAAGGAAATTCTTGAAGTTGAGGAATTAAAAGTCTTGTATTTCTCACTGGTTGAGTCACTGCTTTCTTATGGTATTTTAGGGTGGGGTGGAGTAAATGACTGTTTCTTAAATAGTGTTCATATTGTACAAAAATGGCTTTTAAGAATCATATTCCAAAAAAATATTTTATTTTCCTCAGATCAATTATATCTAGATGCCCAAGTAAAAGATGTACGACAAATTTTCGTTCAAAAAATATTGTTTTTTATATTTCAAAATAAAATAAAATTTGTACATCATGAACACTCTTATAATACTAGGAGATATGAAGGGATCGTTTTCCCACGAAGTGAAAAAACTATCGGGAAAAGAAATACTAACTATTTAGCCCCAAGAATTTACGTGCTGTTATCTAATGATATAAAAAACTCAAAAAGTTTTAATTTATATAAAAATCGAATTAAAAAATGGATTATGGAAACAGAGAGACGATTTTTTAC